ATTATTGAGAGACAGGCTCACTGTCTGCTCCTCAGGCTGGGACAGGAGATCACACACTGTATTATTATTATTGAGAGACAGGCTCACTGTCTGCTCCTCAGGCTGGGACAGGAGATCACACACTGGGCTGCCAGTTCAACTGAGTTCCCTCCCGCCTCACCCAGTAGGGCTGGGAGCTGTTCTGAATCTTGCGGGTGTGCACACCCGCTGAGTCACGTCTGCTCCCCTGTGTCACCGAATTCAGCTCCATCGCCAGTGTGAAGTTGTTAAATGTGTTGGAGGAGAGCAATGCAAATGCATGTTTATATGCCTCTGCTGTGTTCGAAAGCAGACAGAAGGGCAGTGCAGAGCATGAAAGATCAGGCAAGCTTTGTGCAGGCATTCAACCCCCCCCCGGACACACACACAGCAGTGGCTCAGAACCGAGTGGCAGTTAAATTTCCCAAGACAGGATGACAGCTAAGAGGAAGTGGCTGAGAGTTTTCAACCCTGGACAGGGGCATTGCCTTATAAGGCCGAGTCCTGGGATTGGGGCTAGCCGGCCGGTCGGTTTCTTTGTTTCTCTGTCTTCTGTGGTTTTGGGATGTGCAATTGGACCCTGTGTGTGCTCTGAGGTCAATTGTGTAAAACAAACTGCTCTTTGGACCCTGTGAAGATTTGCACACGCACGGTGCCAGTGATGGTGAAAAAAAGGTATTGGCCACTCTAGTCAAAGAGTGGTGGACCTACAGGAGGCCTGACCCCAGCAGGCCTGCTGGTCAGCTCAGAGTGCGAATGCAGCAGGGTGGAGGAGACAGCTGGTGTGCACCTGAGCAAGGCACTTCACCTGTGTGTGTGTGTGTGTGTGTGTGTAAAACGTCCAGCTGTGTAAATAAATGGGACCAGTAAGAGTCCCTAAATAAGACACACCTGGAAGAGAAATGGTCAGAAATGTTGAATAAATGATTCCCACTTTTTGTACGGCACAGGGCAGGTATTATCTCTGGATAATTATTTGATGGAATGCCTCGACTGCCAGGAATAGGAAAGATCTAATCATATCAGACCTGTGTGTCTGTCACTCCCTGTGTTTCTAACTAACTGTAGCCTGGAGGTTGGTACTGTGGTCAATATGGGACATGTCCCCAGTGTGGAGTCTCTCTGTTTTTTTCTTTCTTTTGTTCCACAGCTGCAGTTTTTAGCATAAGTGAAAGACAGGGAGATTTATCTTAAGGAAAAGCTAAGGACACGAAAATGTAACTTAAGAAATGCAAATCTGAAACTTGGTTTCAAAACATTAACTGTTATCAGTGAAATAAGCTCTCAAGGCAAACGCAAAGATGACAGACTCATTGATACGCTCAGTTTAGAAACTCACCTTGGCTGCGAACACCTTCCCTGGTACTGTGGCACAGCGCACAGCGTAGTAAACAGCGCCCCCTATCTGACAGCGTGGTTGTCTTCCCTCACACAGAGTAAAGTCCTCAGGATGCAATGACCCCGCCTCCCTCTCATTAGGCCCCGCCTCCTGTTGTCTTTCCTCCAATGGGCTGCCCACTAACTCTGCCTCCAGACGCTGTGCAGTCTCCAGGAGAAACAGTAGGTGGCGTTGCTGTATGGTCCACGAGACTTGCTCCTGGCTGGACAGGTCCTTGAAATAATAGGGGAGCATGTAGTCGGGGGTGTCAAAGTTCAGGGAGGTCAGGCTCAGAACTGGCTCTGATGGGGGACACAGGGGGCTCGAGGGGGTGCTGTAACTACCCCGCAAGATAATGTTGCCCTTCTCGGCCTTGTTGTTCGGCCCGCAAGGGGAGGGCACAGCCGAGGGGTCACCGCGGGCCGAGCCGTCGCAGGGCTGCGGCGGGCGGGGAGGATGTGGAGACTGGCGCTGAGCAGTCATCACGGGGAGGGACCGCGCGCGGAAGAGTTTCCGTGGCAACGGCGGGGGGCGGTCCGGGGTGGCGTCGGCGCGGATCCTCTCCTGCCATTGGCTGGACGAGCCTGAGACAGACAGACAGACAGGGGAGGAGAGCGGACAGGTCAGGCTTGACTGCTGAGCTCGCTTTCCCCCCTCTCTCTGGACACAGCGCCACTCTCTGGCCTGCAGAGTTACGTGCTGATCGGCCTCACAGGCCCCCCTGCAGCGACGCCACAGTTCACCGTGTCTTCGATCAGCTCGTTAACTCATCCTGAAATGACCCGAGGGAATTTGTGCCCCAGTTTCAATTTAAAGGGAAGGTCCTGGAGTTCCTGTCTGCCACTTGCTGTTGGCTGTTCTTGTGTGTGGCAGCAGGAGGCGCTGTGGTCCCCGTCCCTCCCTCAGGCAGACTTCCCCCTCCTCTGCAGGAGAGTCTGAGCTCCGGCTGCAGCACCACTCCGCAGAGGTGGGGGGG